TGATCACATGAATCGCGCGAGGGTGGTGTGGATCTGAGCCCCGTGCCATCTCTCTCCTCCTCTCTCTCCTGTCACAGTCATGTCACTCTCTTCTCCATCTGTCACCATCCTTCTCTCCAGTTCCAGATGAATATCTAATTTCACCTTCTGTCCCACAACTCAGCCCATACTGTATGTAGATAAAATATTCATGCTCCAGAGTTAAGAAATGAAAACCCATCTGTCTTCTGCGCCATTTCCCTGAGGTCAATAACAAATACAACCTCTTGTAGCGTGTACGCTTTTCCGTCACGCAAGCTAGCAGACTCTAGCCCTTTTTTGGGCTCTTAAGACCATTTTTTTCCTCAGAGCTTTTTCCTCGAGGATTTCATCTCCCGGTCTCTTCCCCCTTCTCTCGGCGAAAATCCTGAGTTTCTTCAGTGTGCCCTTTGGAGCGCGGGCAAAGGTCCTGAGTAGATCGCGATCACAAACGGCACATTCGTCTGAGATTGGTTGGGAGAACAACAGAAAATATCAGTCTCAGCATACGTCAAGATCAATCAAACAGACTAACCGGAGAAAACCAAGAATTCCGCCGGAATAAAACACATTTTCTCAATATAATCAAACTTCTTAATCAAACATTTTCGGATATTAATGGTCCCGGGCTTCTTCAGAGTGATGGAAAGCTTCACGACCAGGTTTTGGTGAATGGTCTCCACACAGAGAAGGGTACCATTTTTGTCGTATAATCACTCCCTGATCTCATCCAAAAACAGGCCTGGTTTGTCTTTCACAAGTTGGATCATGAACTTAGAGTCACTGTCAGAAAGAAGGGAGGGACGGCCTTGCGCCTCATAGTCGTTCGGGTTTTGTATCACACAGCGAGTCTGTTGATATAAATCCATCCAACGACCAAACGATTGTCATGAAATTGGTTCCCCAAGCTCAGTTTGGATGAACGACTGTTCATGACCTTGAATTAGCATCCGAACCGCAGCAACCTTGGTTGCGGGGTGGTATAGAACAAATCCCATCTAAGCGGGAAAAAAAATGAGACTACCTAAGCAAAAAAAGACTGCCAAAGAATGTCAGAGTAACACGTTATACTTTACCTTAAAATAGTGGAGTTGGTGTGAGTCGCTTGGAGGAGCTGGAGCCAGTTGGTTGATGGAGCCGGTGTGGGTTGGTTGCTTGGTGGGTTGTTGGTTCTTGGGAGGACAAGGAGGGTGGAAGAGGTTGATATGGGGGTATATTCAACCGGTGGGTGGGCGGTTGCATGAGGTCATACATAAAGAGCTTGTTCATGCATCTAAGTCCATGTCATGTTGGATTTTCATCGTATAAGATTAGGGTGAGCATGAGGTGATTATTAGGCTAGTGGGAACCAAAAAAAAGAGGCAGAAATCCAAACAAAACTGCCATCTGCTAGGCCTGGGAAGTGCATAATTGCACACTAACTTGAAAAATAAAAAACAAATCCGTCCAAGGTATTGTAAAAACACAATACTTGGATGAAAACTTGTACAGGCTGTGCCAGGTTGGGAGGAGGAGAGTGAGAGGGGAGGGGGCAGGGTCAGACCAATGCTGCTACATAGATGAACTGGCACATATGTAAGACCATCTCCACCCGGGGAGGTAAACTGCGCAGGTGAGCTAAATTTACCTCCCCAAGCCCAAAATTCCCCTGCCACCGGGGGTGCTAAAGGGGAGGTAGATATAGTTCCCCCCCCCCCTTGGGTTGTATAGCATTGCTAGATGTGCAATCGCTATACCAACCCAAGTACCTCCCCAACCCAACGGTTTCACAGGGTCATCCTGGTGAAATCCGGACTTCCCCCCCTCCGTGGGAGGGCCTTTCACAAACCAGGAGTGTGGATAGCACCCTGCGGTGGAAAATGGTTTTTCCGAGGGTTGCTATCTGCCGCCGCAGTCCGTGAGTTTGTAAATTTACCAACTCAGATGACTCTGCGCGGTGGAGATGGTCTAAAGACAGACTGGTAGCAATCTGTAATATTGATTGTTGAGGAGGGATTCTGTACCAAGCTATGATGTACCAGTGTGTTGAAGAGGAATCCAACTTGGTCTGAATTGGATGAAATGTTGTTACCAAGAAGGAATCCTTAATAGCTTGGCCATGAGGTTTGATTCCTCAGAAGGGTTTCTACTAGATCAATGCTAAATTGAATCAAACACAACTCAGTTTGAATTTGTGCACAAAGAGATACTAAACCTTAGCTGTAAATAAATATGTACCACTCAGTCATTTATGCCAAGGAAGGTTTCTCTTCTCTTCAACTTCAAGGAATCTCTGCTGATCAATGATAGATATCCAGTTTGGCCCTGTCTCTGAATGGCTCCTATTAACCAGCTGGGCAATATAGGGTGTCATGATGATGGGATCCATTAATGATCCAACCACAACTCCAGTCTCCAACTGATCACCAGGTTCTCAATGGTCATCTCCTGCTCCAACCCTCCAATAGACCAGTTCAAGTGCTTTGTTTTTCCCCCTTCCTCTGCAGTACTCTTGGCCTCTTCTCTGAGTTGATTAGTTATTTACATAGTTTTGCTTGGACATGATCGATGCTTTGATGTGTGGTAGATCTCTTGGCACTGGATTTGGGACTTTCTGATTCAACATGAATATTTGTTTATTATGTTTGTTTGTTTGATGATGTGTTTGAGGGTGTGCTTCGGCCAGTGTAAGATGTAAATCCATAGTTACATACATATCTATCTCACAGCTTCCCAGCTGTTCCTTTCCTTTCCTTTCTTCTTCTCTTCCTTTCCTTTTATCATCAACCACTTCATCCACCACCTTCAGCTTCCTTCAATTCAACGAACCTCGACAAAACTAAAACTGCGAACTTTTCTACACCCCTCGCTCACTCTCACATCTGCCTCAGAATCGTCTCATCGCTCGGTCCATCCAACCCATTACCTCCTTTTATTATCACACTGGAGCAACTTCAGAAACTCATAAAGCTTCATGTGGAGGTATGTCATTCCCTACCAAAGACTTAGCCAAAAAAAAAAAACAGATCAGCTCAATGTAT